CAGTACAATAATCTTTTTTTTTTAAAGTTTTGCGATTTTTCTCGTGGGCGCAATACTGCCAAGTTGTCCGAGCCAAGACAAATAAATACTTTTAAGGGATTCACAACTGAAGTTTTTGGTTAACCAAAACTTAACCCGCAGGACAGTGTGATGGTGTCTGGAAACCATTATCCATTGGGAGTTGGTTTCCATCTATTTCATCGGATCATACGCCCTTTGGATAGGGCTAAGCGTCTAAGGTGCCCAATACACCTCGATGTCCCCTTTAGCCGGTGACCCACTGCTACGACCAGGACAGTATGGATGATTGCAATTGGTAGATGGCTGAAAGATGAGTGACAGAATTCGAACACAATACCTATAAATCAGTGGTCTATTGGCTACCTAAACTACACTATAATACTCTTCTAAATAAACTACTATTCTATTGCGAAACTTTTCATTTTCTTTATTCAACTGAGTTTCTACGTGGTATCGAAAATCATGAAAATTAAATAAGAACAGGAAACCTTCTTGTGGAATTAGATGCGGTTGGGCGGCTTACCGTACTTCTCGCCACACGAGATAAACATGTCCCTGAGCGGGAAGATCGGGGCCAGTTTCANCCAGCCATATTTGCGGCCGCTCCAACCACTCCACCGGGACCTCCGGATGGTTGTGGACTGGTAGTAAGACTTGGACTGCTACTGTGACCGCCCGCTACTCCGGAAGCCGCAGCAGCAACCGTGGCAGATGCTGAGCCGCCACCGAACAGGGTGTTATAAATGGAAGACCCAGTGGCGGTGCTCAGTGATCCACCAACAGGCGGTGCCTGGGGACTCAGACCGGAGCTTGAAAATGACGACGAGGATAAATGAAATGAAGCTCTTTCCGTCGAGTTGGCAGATGTGGCTGAGGCCGCATGCACCAGGGGAGAACGAGAGTCAGAACTAGGATTGTTGGCGTTTGCAGCTGCCGCCACGTTTGATGCGTTCACTGCACTGGGCAGGGTGCTGGCGGATGAAGGAACACCAACTCCACCCCCACCCCCGCCACCACTGCCGTGTTCGCGAGTGACCTTGAACGCGCGGAGAATGTAGCGTTCGTTGTCCTTCACTAGAAACATCAGAGCATTGTGAAGCATGATCGCGAGCATTTCCGTTCGTTCGCGAATATAGTCGTGGTTAACCTTGTTTGCACTGGTCACGGTTAGTTTGTCCACAGTCACTTCAGCATGTGCAACCACCCAGTAGTGGAACAAGACACGAGGGAAATTGAGCAATAAATTCTGCGAAAAGGGGCGAAAAAAGAGAGGCAACAAATTTATTGTCTGGTTCATGAGAAATGCTCACCTCCACGCTCTTAGTGGAAAAGTACTACGTCTAATCAAGATACAGACTACAGAAATTCACAGAACTGAAGCCTAATCTGTTGACTTTAACTCAATTTACTTTAAAACACGAAAAACCAAGTAATGAGGGATGGACTATTTTTTTCCAGAGAACAACTCATAATATATGTCTCATTAGTAACCTTATCCGGTGGATCGAGTCTGATTCATAGGAATCCGATATTGTACTGAGATTTAAATAGTTCAGATAAGTGACGCGACCGAGAGTGTTATCCAGTAGTATACTTTTGCACGCACTACATCTCAATGTACGTATTTGGAACTCCTGTTGATTTTCATGTGCACTCTGTTCTATTGAATAATTTCAGCCGGTAAAAACAAACCAAATAGAATTTGAAAACGGGGAATTTACTACAGTCAATCGATGCTAATGACTCATATCTCTGTTTAGATAAAAGAGCACCCTTTCAAACCCTGAATTCATTACTCCAGTAGCATAAAACCTCCATAATATTGTACCTAATTAATTTTGCACGCTCACGACACAAAAAATACGCATTTCAAATCGAAAGTTTTATCATGGGCGATTTCACAAAACTAACGCTTATCAAGCCCCACAAAAGTTTTCAGAACGTTTGGGACAACTTTACAGATAGAAAGCAATACCGATACACATGGTCATTCACAGTTGTTGAAATGACAAGTGTTCCAATGCTTCACCAAGCACGTACAACAACGTGGGATGGGAGAGAATTCCATCCACACCGCACACTCTGACTGCAAACAAGTGATGCCGGCAATCTGGGTGACTGTGCTGGGTCCTCAACTTCTGTGGATGTCCCCTGAGATGGTTATTACAAGATAAAGTTAACAGAGAACGGCAAGGGTGGTCAAGATGATCCACTGTGATATATCAAGATTAAGTTCCCCCCGAGGTCAACGGTAATGAAATGAGTGAAGCCCCTATTAACAATCTGAATGCTCAAATGGTTGTTTGGCAGACTGAAGTGTTATGTTGAGATGGGATTTGAATCCACGCACGGACGCCACCTACGCTTTCGTGCAGCGCACACTCTACCAGCTCAGCTACGAGGCTACACCGATAGCATTGGTCTTTTCACATTCGAACCATCCATGCAACTTACAGAGGTATATGGCATCGACTGCTACGACAAGTTTTCGTTGGAATAAACCGGATTCCACCAAATGAATATCTAGGACCAGTTTCATTGGTCAAATAGTTGTTTGGCAGATTGAAGTCTCATGTTGAACTTTTCACAATTTCGAAATCTGGATGTTTTTACTCCATCCCATTTTGCGGGGGAAAAATGAACCGAACAAATGCCAGTTGGTAAAATTCACGTTAGGCACACTGGCTAAGTACTTTTGTTAGAAAGGAGCATGGATCAGAACACTGTTTGATTGAAATTTGTAAATGCGAAGAATCAAGGGGAAAGCGAGCTGAGAATCGATTGAGGACAAACTCAAAGAGCAGTTTTCCACACAAACCAGCCAACAACTGTAGAGCGCTTTTGTCGATGCTGGAGCCTAAAACTGCACCTCAAACAACCCATACATGACGAACAGTATAACTGATTTCTGTGAACTGAAGAAGTCTTTTTTGAGCCGTTTGTGCACAAACACACACACAAGTCTTCTGTATGTTCATTGGTAGTCGAAATTTCCTCTTGTTAACAGAACATTTATGGTAAAATTCGTTTTGCTAAACGAAATCGAGACCAGTGCATGAGTCAGCTACTTCTTGAAAAACTATATGAGTTCGACCGGATCTGCTTCAATCCACACCATTATGCAATAGCTATATAGAGACCGAGATGAATAAGTCCAAATGGTTGTCATAAATGTTTATCTGAAAGCAGATCAATCTCATTGATGAACTATGTGATATGGATGGGTGGGGGGACTGGTTTCAGTAGCAGGAACAGATAAACATTCTTGTCTCCCTGTAACCGATTCAGAATAGAATAAAGCAAAGAACTACGCCAGTTATATGCACCCAAATGACTTGGGGGATTTCAACGGATGTTTCAAAGACCGTCGCGACACCTGTCGATGGCACGTTTAGCGGAGAGCGCGTAACTGTGAATCGTTACAAGATCGAATCTGATGAGTCAGGGAAAGGCCGTCAATTATTGTACAACATTATCGGACATAAAAAGCCCGCCAAGTATCAAAATGTGGAAACCCTAAACTACACGTTTCTTGGTATTTATCATGTTTTAAACTCAACCCCTCAAAAGTGCCACTTCACGTATTGTCACATTTTAACCAGAAGAGAAGTTAAAAAAATTGGCGACGACTGACCGTAAATATTTTTATCACTTAAATCACTGAAATGCAGACAGTGGATGATGGGAATTACACGTGATACGCAATGGCCTGCTGATTTTGATTGCAGTGGCTAACAGGCAGAAATCGCTTACCTCGAATGGTGCGATTGTGGAGTGATTCTGCCGAAATATGGCATCTTTCTTATCCAAATTGGTGTACAATTGACCACGATTGATGCGTTTGACCAAAGGCATGCACACATCATCGATCGTTTGAGGCAAACTAGCCAATTTGGCATGGATTTGTCGCCAGATTTTTGCCTCGGCTGTGCAAATTAAAACGTCAAATTATGCGATACAATTATGATAGAAATGTATTGGAAATGAACAAGAAACCAAGATTTTCTAACTTCCTATAACGTCCTTTTTAGTGACATGATGAAATTGATCAACGATAATTGGAAAAATCAATACCATTTGTACGCACACCTGCAGACCGGTGCGAGACTGTTCAGTAGGTTGTCGAAAAAATCCAATCAGTCGCCGTTCACTGAATCGAAATAGGACGATGGAGTAAACCAACAAATGACGTACCATTGGTCACACAGGTTTTCGGAGTCTGTGGTTCGACAGGCTGCGGCGAAGATATCAAGGCAGAAATATCGTGCACCTATTGTCGGAAATACTTTCACCCCTCGTGCACGAAACTATCCAGCAAGCAGGCAAAACAGATGGCTGCACAAATGGATTGTTTTCGGTTCTGTACGGATTGCTTGAATATCCCTGTTACCAAATGTATAATAAGCATTTCGAACAGGTATGAGGAGTTATTACTGGCTGCTGATGAAAAGGCAAATACTAAAATCTCAGCACTGGAAGCTAGGATAGCTTCCCTGTGAGCCCAATCAAGCAGCCGGCAAAGCGTCTTAGGTTTTCCCATAGTACCTCTGATCCAGCGCACCTGGTACTCTCTGCTGAAATTATTTACGTGCCAAAAACAATGAGAAACACAAGTATTGTCCCAGAGTTGGAGAACCACTTAATGCAGCCGACACTCGCTCATATTACGGAGACAATAACAGCAACAAACGATGCGGACTCAATTCCAGGTTCTGGGAGTCAAACTGAGTGCAAAGCATCTACATGGTAGATACATCATACGTCAACAAAGCACAAGCGGACTATTGATCACGCCGCCCTGACGGCTATCTGCAACAATGTACCAGAGGCGACAGCAACTTTACTGAGGGAGAGAAAAGTGGAAGAGCTTGGTCACCGGACTGCATTATGCACTCAAATGAACAATGAAATCCACCCAATGAGCGTCGTACGCCTCTTTCATCAACCGTCCTAACCTCACGCCGGGGAACCCATACTACTTCGAGTTACTTTGAAGGATGAGAAAGAAGTCGAGAACGATCTGCTTTCTAGTTATCTTCTTGGTAAAGTTTCGAGTCGTATAAGAATACTTCCTGATCGACCATGGACCGAACGTATGCGCCATCGCACGAACCCAGTAGATGCACGCGAGTCGGAAAATAAACGAGTTGTATTGATTCACGGATTCCCGAAATTAAACGATCCAGACGAATCCACATGTCAACAAAACGACTATAAAGAGTGGAGGTTTATTCAAGAGTTGATTGGACGCCATAATATTTTCACTACCTCTGTCAGTCGACTTCCGTGTTCAGCAAACTACCGTGGAAACGGCCCGAGGATTGTGAAAGTAACCCTCAGTACCCCGGAAATGGTCACATCGGTCTTGCAGGCATGGTATCAACACAGAAGAAGAGGACCACCAGAATTAAGCCTCAGATCACTGTTGAATAGTGAGGTAAAACGATGCCCGCAGTGAGAAAACCAAATTCCACTTCCCTCTACATCTTCGGGAGCTCAAAGCAGCAGAACCGATTCCCCAAAAATCTACTTCTAGTCGACCTCAGAGTGGTCGGCATAAATAAAGATTTGAAACCCAGCGGATTCCTAAACAGACGCTCCCTACAGAGTGTCAGATCCGAACGACGTCCGGAGTGTATCTAAAAATCGATGCATCATGTGATATGTTTTATATAAGTTGTAATTTTGAAAACAGCGATGTCGGTACAGGTGAAAATAAGCCCACGTTTCGGTAACCGTGGGTAATCCTTATCAAGGCGATTTTACAATCGATTGCATGCTATACAGGCTTGGAATCCATGGCTGATTCGCTACCAAAAGGCACTTGAACGTCTGTAGAGAACAGCAACCAAAATGGTCAAAGGGTTACAATCTAAGACCTACAGTGAAAGACTGCGAATTCTCGAAATTTACTCGTCTGAATACCGTCGAATACAGGGTGACATGATCCTCGCTTATCAAATACTACATCAACCTAACCACCCTTGTAGTACTCTAGTGACGCTATCCAGGAATGGTCACCTCCGAGGAAATCCGTTTAAACTTCTGCTTCGAAAGAGCCGGCTCGACTGCAGGCGTCATTCTTTCAGCCTCAGAGTTTGTTACACTTGGAACTCCCTTCCACCTCAAGTTGTCGGTGCACCAACCGTCGATTCATTCAAGCCACGACTGGATGAAGCATTGAACCATCTAACTTTTCAGTAACCGTGAATGAATGTCAGAATTTCCTATTCATTTATACTACCCACCGAACCTAGTGTGTGCAGACCCTATGGGATTAAATAAGCATCAGCTTTGTGATTTACCCACAATAAAAATTTGAATTTGAATTTGCTAGTTAGACGAAACCAACATTCAGCTGTAAGTTTTATAGACGGTTCATCAAACTCCTTGCAGTTCTTGAGTTCAGTTTAGTTTGTACAACTAATACCTATGTATGCAGTTTCGTGCGCCGGTTTTGGTTGCCGTCTTTTGACTACCTATTTTGATGAGGCAGTAGGACAAAGACAGGAAAGGTGAAATTGAATTCGAAGAGAAAATGGAGAACTTCAGTGAACTGAGGTTGCAAGGAAATTGAGGAGAAACAGAAACGTCATTGTTTACGACACTCATCCATATTATGCAATGCCGCCAACCACCGGTTACGAGCATTCCGAGGTCCCCAGCCAGGGAGCCCGACGCGAACTATGTGACTGAGTCTCCTGGTTAGGATTTTCATACTCTGGTTTAGGTCTTGCTTTGACCAATCTGGGTTTTACTCCACCTACTACCTGCCTAGGCAAACATTGCGCACCGTGGTAACCTGTTTGCGTAACACATGCTCCGACTAACGTAACCCATAGTGGTCGACTAGTAGAGTTCTTGAGGCATCGAGATTAACAGAAAAACAGTAAGAATATCTGAGTCATATATCAGTAAACAATTTCTGAGCATGGGATATGGTGAAGGCAGTTGTGAAAAAAATTGGCTGACAGATTTGGTGTTACGCTCCACAATGACGGCCACAAAAACAACCGAATTCAGTGACAGACAAACAGTCACGAAAAAGATTACTATGTATTTCCATGAGATGCAAACTGCATCGATCGAAAAGAAAACGTATTCATACCTTTGTAAGATTTGGTTTTCTCCAAGTCTTTCACTATATTGTTAGCAATCAGGGGCAAATTGAAATAGAGTATGCGCATCTGTTTGAGGCCCTCAATGAGGACGAATTTGTTGTGTCTCGTTTCGAGTAGAGGTACAATATCCGGATTTCGGCGTGCATAATCCCGTACAATAACACGGACGGAATCAAGCATATTCGAGCATGACAATGCTTGGCAATGCTGAGCCCAACTCTGTATGCAAATAGAGATGCAGAAATCGAACTTTACTACTCACGAGTAGCAAAAAGATGAATTATATTTTGATTTGAAAAACAACCACCAACTTGGAACCTGTTGTAATTCTACCCGTCGAAAGCTGAATTACCATCAAGTGATACCGAAAATGAAGTCATAGGAAAGTCGTTTTATGTATAGTGAAATCAATACCTAGTAACACCGAAATATACTATATTTTCTGCGCATGGTCTGCGGTCAGATGTCAGAATAAGGATAGCTTTTTCAACTAGGTTCACGCATTAGTACGGCTAATTACCAAACGATATAATACTTGACAATATATATCACCGTGGACACGGACGAAGCGGAATCATCTCGAAGGACCCTACCATTCACTTGTCCGGGAAATTCGATGATGGACGCTTTGATCCTTACAAAATTCTACAGGGGCTTGTGAACAAATCAGCCAACGTCACCGTCATTTTTCTCGTGAAGCTTGACCTACGCGTGCCCGAAAAGTGAAAATCTGAGAATTGTGGGTGCTCTGGATGAAAGGTGATTGAGTTACATGTAGGCTGGATGAGGACGCGTTGAACAGCTGTTTCCTCATAGTTCTTGAACTTCAGTAATGAATGCCTACAGAATCTAATACGGGTTTGAACACAGACAACCGAGGAGGGGGTGATAATTTAACATAGTAAACTGGACACCCAGACCACCCATAAGTTAAGCGCTTACTGTAAGTTTAGTATACCAAACACTAAATTGATTTACTGTAGGGGCCCTAGTGACTCAGATCAACCAAATATTACGTTAAACAATAAAAGTCCGTCGTGCATTGATCCGGCGATCTTAAGTTTAAATTCCGCTTTGGAGCCTATATACTTGGAGGAAGAACCTGTTTCACCGTATCATCTGTCGTATTTGACAAAATAAAATTGAAAAAATATCGTTATAAAAAGTTGTAGCAAAACTTCGATTAATTAGTCGGAATGAACATGCTCATTGAGCTCACCTTAAGGTTGGCACATCCGTTATCTGTGAGCCAAGCGTATACCGCCTCTCCCATCCCGGAGTAACCTTGCGGTGTTTTGGTCTGATCGATACATTTGACCAGTGTACGAAATAGACAAATCAGTTCGGGTATTTGATCCAAACAGAGCACATGAGCCAGTCGCCTGTGTTCCACAGGCCAACAACGCAAGAGCAAGTATTCATACTGCTTCAAATGGCGTACCATGTATTGCGTTTTTTGATGGAATTCTAACAAGCATAACAGGCGGATATAGTCCTCGCTTTTGGGACCCTGTTGGCCATCGATTCACATGGATTGGTATAGATCAACGGGTGCATGGAGAAAAAGACAAAGAGAACAACAGCATGCTTACTTAAAATTAATTTTTAGGTCCAATATTGGACGATAAAAATAGATATCAAGAGTATGTACATATACATATGCGCGACTGTGTGCATCTATTTGTGTAGATGAAGCCAAAGGTGGCCATACGTCAAAGGTTAGTCTTCACAAGATTGCAAATGCATTAAAGATCTGAGCTGGATTGCAGGGAGACCGGAAACAAAGTTACCAGAGCTCCATAGAAACTCACTTTGGCCGGCATCTGATAGTCCGGGAAGTGTCGCTGCAGTTCGACGGCAGCCTCAAAACTTTCCCCGGCCACCATTTCCGGATCGTCGCTCCAGTCGTTCACGACGAGTTCAGGGACCAGATCATTCGCGGAACTCGTTGCACCCGGAGTTGTTGCCTCCGCACCGCTGCGATCTAGTCCGCTCATGTAACCCGTGGGCACGGAAGACGTGGACGCCAAACTATCACTGTTCGATCAGAATTGAAGACAGTGAATAAGAAACAATAATCAATGTATCTCAACTGAACACAAAATCGACTGCGTCCTCAACGAGACAGCGACACAGTGCGTTAGAACACACAGAGAGCTGAGTCATGTCAAAATCAAAAGTAATCCAGTCAGTTTTTGTGGACCCTGAAAACTAAATACGATCACCATTTTTTAAGATAAGTTTTGGATCAACCGTCTTGATTACCTTGAAATAGCCAAAGAGAGCGTGACAACGAAACCAGATTGAATTCTTCTAATGGGAACCGATATGGTCGAATCGATTAATCTTCATCTCGTGCCAACTATCACTCGGTTTCCTTCCTATACTCTCTAAGTGACACTGTTTGCATTGTTCTGCTGAGAATACACACACGAAAATCCGTGTTGCTTTACAATGCATTCCAGTGGTGTATGGGACACACTGAGTGCTCCCCACCTGCATTCGATGTTCGCACACTCAATCCGGTTGACAAAAAACAGATTTGTATGTCGAACTTCCAATTTGCACGTATGTCGTCTTTCCGAAACACACACAAACACACAAAAATAACCTACTCCAATTGTGATACTGCGTTCTTCAGAACCGACCTTATCCCTACACGTCACTCTCCAATGGTCAGGCGCTCCAATGTCAAAGGCTCGCAATATTGTCGAAATTGCGTTAAATGTAAAGTTTGAGTGCTCGAAGCTTGACTGGCTTTCACTCAGTAGCCGAGGGTTCATTGCGGACCAACAGCAACAGAACATAGCGTGTCCATATATCCATTGACTGTTCGCCTGAGATAAAGGATTTCTAGGTAGACCTCTATTGACTTCTCCAAAGTGTTCGCTCGAAGGATATCGCAATGGCCAGTCGTGACATGAGTGCCGAGATGG